TTTGTCAATTAAATTTATTACATTTTTAAATTGGAATTGTTTGCTATCTTGAGAATATATATATTTTAATTAAGTTACTCTTAATTGCAGAGATACTATTACATTGATTGGCCATACTTTGCTATATAAGATACACTGCTTTTCTACAGTATGTTTCAATTTTCTAAATATAATTTGTTGAGTTTTGTTTAAATTTTACTGTTTTTTTCTATAACAAATACTGTATTGTAATAATTATTCCCCCTGTCTAGATTCATCATGCCCATCTTAGTATATTAATATTTAAATGTCTCATCTTATTTTACACTTAGCCCATTTCTTTCACTTCAAGGGCTTCTCCACTGGCTTATAAAACCTGTATTTTCTGCTTTTTATATATGGCCTCTTTATGTTGAGTTTGTTTCATTCTATTCCCAATTTGTTGAGTGATTTTGTCATGAAAGGGTATTGATTTTTTTTTAAAATGCTTTTTCCTTCATTCTGTTAATGTGGAGCATTGCATTTGCTGTCTTAGGTTGCAGCATCCTTACATTCCAGGAGTGAGTCCCACATGGTCATGGTGTACAGCTCTTTTCATGTGTTGTGTTGAGTTTTGATTGCTAATATTTTCTTGAGGATTTTTGTATCAGCATTCATGAGAGATACTGCTCTGTAGTTTTCTTTATTTGTAATGTCATTGTCTGGCTTTGGTATCAGGGTCATGCTGGTTTTTGGGTTGTAATTCTTTTTTTTTTTTTGATGGCTGTTCACTTTTATTTGTGAGTAGATCAAAGGCAGCCATGGAATACAAAACTTGATTTTAGAAAAGTATTGAAAACATTAATTCATAGAAAAGTATTGAAAACATAATAGCAATTCATGTACAATTGCTATTCCAAATGATAATTCAGTAAGATGATAGTATAAAATTTTCTGTTTATAATTTAAAGGTTATCTCAACTATCTTATAAGGAATCATGTTTTTAATTTACTACAAGCCCAAATATCAAAATTGTCCCGATTTAAAATCAATTTCCAAAGTCTCTTTAAGATGGAGATAAAATTTTTCTTCAGGGCAGTAGTTTTCAAACGAATGTGCATCAGCATCCTTTGGAGGGTTTGTGAAAACACAAATTTCTGGGGCTCTACCTTCAGAGTTTTTGGTTCAGTGGGTCTGGGGTAGGGGC